CTGTGTTGTCGGCAGTGTCCTCTGCGGTGTCTTCCGCATCGTCTCCTGCCTTGTGTGTGGCGTCGTCGCCAGTCTCCTCGGCCTCCTCGTCGGCGTCGTTGTCGTCGTCAATAGGCTTGGGGTCGGCCTGCTCTAGTTCGTCACCAGCTTGTGATACCTTGCCGGTGGTGTCTTCAGCAGCCTCTTCCGCCTTGCCCTTGGCATCTTGGGCAGTCTCCTCGCCCTTTTGCTTGGTGTCTTCGGCGGTGTCTTGTGCCTGGTTCTTGGTGTCCTCGGCCTTCTCCTCTCCTTGCTTCTTCACGTCCTCAGCTTGTTCAGGCACATCGGGGGTGGGGGCGTCCTCCGACTTGGGCTTGTTCAGCTTGGGGGCAGATGATTGTGGCTTTCGTCCGAGCTTGGTAGGGGTGCGGGGGGTGTCACCCTTTCCAGCTGCTGGGGAAGGCATGTTGTTGAATAGAACGCTCGAGACGTTGTAGGAGTTGTCGTGTCCGTGATTCACTGTGTAGGATGAGGTGCTGTAGGAAGTAGCTCGATGATGGCCGCTTCCTGATACGTTGCTTGATATAGACTGAGAGCGTGTAGACCGGGGGGAATGTCTATTAGGGGTTGGGGGGAAAGAGTAGTACGAGTAGTTGTGGGAGGAAAAGTGTTCGTCTGTCATATATCAATTGACGAATGGTTCGTCTTTGTAGGGATCAGAAAGTGCGGAAGGATCACAGAGAAGCAGGCATTTATGATAACTACTCCTCAATTGAGCATGCTGGAACGGATGACGTCGAATGCTGGTTTCCAGGAGCAAGAGCTTGCGCCTCAGTTGTGGAGAGGCAGAGTAAACCTGCTTTGGCGCCATAGTGTGTGCAACGAACAGGAGGAGTATTGCGTCACACTACTCACAAGCTCCAGCCTCGAGCGGGGCGTCAGCGCATCCTGGTGGCATGGCCTCCACTCAGCGTGGTGAGACAAGCGGGTAGCTGCTGCAGCAGGGGTGGGAACGGCCTGTGGCTGGAAATGGGATGGCCTAACATCGTCGATGAACCGCGGAGAGCGGGCTGCTGCCAGGGTTGGAGTTGAATTGCAGCCGGAAGTGGAGCTGAAACGCTCTAGCGAAAAGGCTGCCTACGGTACTCTTTGCACTGGACGAGGTTAGTTTGCAGGAAGGATACCAATGGCATGCAGGAAGTGAGGTTGGGGAGACATGTGTCATCTCAGGCAAGCCAATACCGGGCTGTCGATACGCCTTCGCAGGCATGAGTGCAGTGCGAAACGAGCTGGTGGAGCAAAAGCACACAGAGCCCAGGCCCGATCGACGGCACTGTGGCTGGCCTTGTCGAGCATCGGGTACGGAATCCCTGGCGGCAGTGTTTCCCTCCTATCATTAGGGCGCATGCAGCAGGATGGAAGAGCAAGTCGTGCCGTGTGTGCAAGCAGGTTGCAGCGACGCGTATGATGTTGTCGGGCGCCTGACGTCATGGAGTCGGGAGCTCCCCTGCTCAAACGTCGCTTAGCGGGGTCGTAGCTTCCTTCTGGCGGCCGATCGCTGCATGCTACCAGTCTTCGGTACCACCATTGTGAGCACCACCAGCCATCACCACGACATGCAAGACGGCATGGGAGATGAGGGACCCTGCGGCGGGCGGAGATCAGGAAAGACGGAACTCGGAAGAGTGATGCCGAATAACTTCATGTCCGAAGAGGCCTGCGCTGTGGTCATGGTGAAGTTGGACTGTGCCGCGATGAACGGCGGGGCTCCAGCGCAACGGTCGGGACGTTGGCCGCATCCCAACTGCGAGTGACACCACGCACCGCTAAGAGGCTGCAGCAAACCCAATCGTTCTATTCCCGTGGTACCTAACCTCCGGGCAATTCATTGACCCTGACTTGCAGCTGTCTACTGTAGTCCGGAGTATGCACAACGTGGTTTCGATCACGACAAGCCGTCTCGATCGAGACATGTCCGTCGTACCCATAATTATCCTCGCGCCACAACTGCACAAGCAATTCTGCGCAGACGCACGATCGATCACTTCATCTCAGGTACCCCTATCCTGCCCGCTGCCGAGTCATGCCCAAATAACAGGTTGTCAAACAAAGACACATTTCCCAACCTCCAAAACAAAGATGGAAATCTGGGTCCGTGACGACGCGTATGATGTCAGTCGCCGCCGTTCGTAAGAATGATGGCGGCACGGAACGGGGTCCGCACGCTTGGAAAATTATTGTCCGCCACCGAGTCAAGCCATTACCTGCTTTCTGGTTCCTGGATTCTGCGTTTTCGATAGACGGACGTTGATCGCGCGATGATCGTGCAATGACACGCGCGAATAATGCCACATGCATGCTATCTTTAGGAATGCTATTCGTTCTACGACTTCAGGTCTACCGATGGTTCTAGGCAAATCGACAAGAGAGGATATCATGACCACGCGAAATCAAGCCACAGGTAGAAGGCACCAGGTGTCTGTTGGGGTCATGCAGGAACAGCAGCAGCCCGCTTCGTAGCTCGCATCGCAACCAGCCGCTCACACCGCGGGGGCAGGCTCCCGACGCCCGTCAGGCGCAATCCCATCTTCGACATCTTCCCCCGACTTGCTCAACCACTTCTTCCTCTTCTGCTTAGCGGCCTCCCGTTCTTTGGGTGTCAGGTCGCCGTTCTCACCGCGGTCTCGACTGAGCCTCTTCCATATTCGCCGTCCAAGACTAGTCTGTTTCTTCTCTGCCTCTTTCCGCTCTGCTTCCTGCGCAAGTAACTGCCGCTCTCGTTGCGCGCTTTCGCTTTTATCCTTTTGCTCTTCCACCTTCCGTTCGTATTCTTCCGGGTGCACGACCTTTGTCTCTGCCTCCTTGACGTGCTCAACTCCATGCTTGAACTTCTTGCGTGTCTTAACGTAAGCTTCAAGGCCGACGAGGACAGCATATGACCGGGAGATGGAGACACGCGACATGTCCACTCCATTCTCCTTCATGGAATGTACGAACGCACGGAAGTTCTTCGTCGGCGGGCGGTAGTGGCCGGACAGGGGTGAGAGGCGCCGAAGCTGACCATCCTTGACTCTGATCAGACCTGCGGCAGATATGCGCGCACCGTGGAGGAACGAGCTGTGCTGAAAAGCACCCGATTGCTTGATCCCGACGTACAGGCGGAAGGATGTGTCGGCTACCTGTGCTTGCTTAGTACATCTGGCCGACGGAGGAGAGTGCACAACTTACGAATATCCATGAGTTCGGCTTCACTGAACTACGGAGAAGGTGGTTCAGAATAGTCGCGGCTGACACATGTTTGAGTTTCGAAACGCCCTTAGCTTTGTCGAGGTCCTCATTGACGTAGTGTTCTGCCTCCTCTGCCTCCGCATCGCTCTCAGATATAGACGAGCTTGAGCTCACCGAGATCATTGAACTTCGCCGCAGGGTCTTGCTTTGTCCAGAGTGCAGCTTTGCTTTGGGACCGTAGGCTGGAGTGTCATCGTCGACCGGTACAATACCGTTGACACTATCTTTGTAATCCGTGGTCGTGTTTAGGCGCTCTCCGTTCTTTGCCCAGCATAGACGACCTTCGTCGTCGATGGTGACTAGGTAGTTCTGACGCTCCTCCCGCGACAGGTAGCGCACCCTCTCTGTGTCGAGCCTCTCTCTAGAGACGGTCGGATGCTCAAAGTGCCTACCCTCGCCATGGTCGAGCCAGTAGAAGAAGTTCTCGTGAGTGTCTGCCTTCTTCCACTGCTCGTGATAGGCTCTCAGGTTACTGCCGTATCGATGCTTCTGGTCCACCATCTCCAGGAAGTACTGGAGGTCCATCATCTTGGCAGTCTTCTCGCGCTCCGCCTTGGACTCGTTCTGCTTCCGCCGCTGTTCCGTGTGGTTCTCGGGCGCATCCTCGTCGTCCGTCTCTGAAGCATCGTGGGGGTCGTCGGCGCCCGCTCGTCGCGCAATCTCGCCGACTCGCTTCCACTTCTCGCGCGCTGCTATGGAGTTCGCTCGTTCACGTGCTTCGGGAGTAGTGAGGTTGTCGCGCAGAGCCGCGTCTTCCGAGCGCGGCTTGGGCTTCGTCGCATTGCGCCATTTCGCTTGAGAGGTTTAGCTTAGGCGCAGTAGAGATTGTGGTGGACTGCTAACCGTCGCGTATCGCCTGGTACCATTAGCCACACCTCTCTATATAGTGCGAACGTCTCCCACCTCTGCCCAACGTGCGCTAGCATCCAGGCCCATGCCTTGGAGCTGCCTGCGCTCCCGGTAGCCGCGATAGTTGCGCTGGATCATCTGCGCGGCTTGCGCTTGCTCTTGATCGTTTGTCCCCATGTGCGACTGGCGAGCCGCAACATCTTGGGCGCTGACCATTCTGGCTCCGTAGACATATATGTGGCGCAGGACATTGAATCAGGCAGAGGGTGGTGGGTAGGTGAGGCTTGACAGCTGGATTTCGGTGGGGCTAGTGAGGAGACATCCCTGCTGTTCGGCTTTTCGGCAGTGGCCGCGTCATCGCGCATTGCGAGGTAAGGAAACCACCATCTTTTACCAACGGCTATAGCAACTGAAAGTATCGCTTGCCGTCATCTGCGGGCATTTCATTGTCACCACGTCGTAACAAGTTTCCCGTGACTTCAACGCTCTCGCGCGACACGCCCGGTTGAGTGAAGCATGGGTTATTTACAATCCCTCGTATTGCTCCACAGCATGGCGGGCACTGATTTGTATCGACTAAAGACATGAACACAGCTTCGAATACGTCGAGAGATCTTGTCTGACCTCTAGGACTCTCAACTCAATTTCCTTATTCCCAAGCTCGATTTACGGTACCAACTCCTAACTCGACAAATCGATAAGTCGTGTCAACCAGGTAGGTTAGCTCATCTGCGCAACAGCTGGGATATCACTTCCGATCCATGGAGGGCTGCGAAGGGCCTCTTCCGTCATCATGTTGATCCCAGCCCCTATTAACTTCCAACGTCGACCCTTCGAACTTTGGACTCCCATCACATTCATCTCTCACGAATTAGTTAATCAGCATGACTGAAACATCAGCCTTGAAGCGCGCAGCTTCCGAAGAGCCCGACGTATCGAGCGAGCCATCTAATGGCGTGAAGAAAGCCAAGAAAGTAGGCACTACGGACCCAACAACATCGACAGCGGAGCTAGAGAGTATTGGAGCTACGGAAGCAGCCCCGGCTCGCGATGAACCAAATGACGATGTTGCATTGCAGCAGAAAGATGCGACATCCAAAGACCTCAATGACAAGAGCGGCACCGAAGTGCAGCAACCCAAGACAATCGCTCCAGTGCCCGAACCCACCAAAGCAGAAGACGATAACGAGGACGAGGGCGAGGACGACGAGAGCGAAATCGAGAAATCAGTTTCGCCGGACGGTAGCGATGAGGACTACGATTCCGAAGAAGACGGCGATGGCGAACCCTACGGTTACGGTCTTGAACGCGATCCCGACCAAGGCGGGTTGGCGATGCCACCCGGCCTTGACGAGGAATATGATGAGTTGGCGAATGATTATTGAAGTTCGAAGGAAGATGATGAGTTTGATGAGTACATGGAAAAGCGTGACAAGGAAGCCATTTGAGGATATGGCTTTAACAAGCGACTCGGATGACAGCGAGGAAGCAGCTGACCGGAAACGAGCAGGACTGGAGATTGATATGGGTGACTTTTGAAGTCTTCATGTGTACTTCAGGCCCGCGTGCTTTCGCAAGACGTTGCCATGGTTATTCGTATGTATCAATATGTTGACATCTCATTCTCAGTCATGCATTACTGCTCTCAACTACTTGAAATGTAAGTATTTTGTACTTTCTCTCTTAATTCATCTCTGTGTACCTAATGTGATGTGATGGTTCATCTGCGTTGTCGCAGTACATTCAGTGCATGTTTCAAAGAGGCAATTACGACGCGGAGAATTGTTCCGTTACACACCATGTCGACACTTGATGCCTTTGTTCCCATCGGGAAAGAGCCGCGGTCAGAGTCGTCTGATCTCACTGTTTGCACTTGCACTTTCCTTCCATACGCGATGCAGCGACGTCATCGTCACAGATAAATCACGCAAACACAAACTACCACCTCACCTTCTTTTCCACATCTCCAAGCCACCGCTTCTTCTACTCAAGCATCACCTACAGCCCTACCTCTATCAGTCACCATGAGCGACATTCTCAGCGAGAAGGTGTCCTCTGACGCGAGCAGCGATGCTACCACCTTTTCGCAGCGGTTCCAAGACCAATTGGAAGCAATCCTCAAGAAGCTGAGAAAAGATCCGAGCACCATCACAGCCGAGGAAGCCCGTATTCTATCTGAGAACGTCGCTACACGTGACGACAGAGCGGTCCGCATTATCTCTGCCGTCGAATCCCTAGCTATTGCTAACAAGGTGTGGATTAGAAGGGATCCAGTGAAGCTCAGGCTCCTCATCGTTCCCTGCTGATGGCCGCCAAGGACCTGCATATCGCTGTAGATGGCAGCCCTGACGAGGCGACCACCGAGGTTCTTCGTGTTGCCCAGAGCATCGTTAGCAGTACGTGCCTACTTCCACATGTCGTCCCGCTTGATCATTCGCTCCAAATCGAGACAAATACTGACGATCTATAGAACTGCAAAAGGCCGTCGGCCATACCAATGCTCCTCACCCTGAAGTCGAAGCCGAGCTCCAGGAGGAAATCGCTAAGATCGAACCCAAGATTGCGCAAGGCACTGTCACCAAGGCTGAAGCCGATCATCTCCATTCTCTCGAAGCCCGCGCCCACGGTCATACCGAGAAGGGCGGCATGGCCGCTGTCGCTCAGTCTGTTGCAGCCAGACGTGAGCGTCAACTATCACTGAGCAGCAGCACTGGATCTATCTTGAGTCCTGCCAACGGAAGATCTCGTGCCAACAGTAGGAACTTCACATCACCTCAGCAACGGTCTCGTCAAGAGAAGGAAGATGACCTCCACAACGCGGAGATGACTATGAAGCCTACGATCGAGGCGGACACTGCCGCCGCATCAGGGATGGATAATCCACAGTCTCTCGACGCTCGTGCTAACGGTGGCACTGAGGAGAATATATGCTTGGGGCTCTATGAGTCCCACGCCAACAACGGAAGTGCTCGCGCCAGCGATGAGCGTCCCCGCGCCAGTAGCGAGGGTATCTACTCCCGTGACACACTGTCTGGCTCCAAACATCACGGCGATCTACACGACGGCAATTCTGCTGTCTCGCCAAAGGCAGAGAACGGCTTCTCTACTCAACCAAACCCCAAAACGGTCCAGTCGCAAGAGATGCCGGCCCACGGCCACTCCGAGAAGAGCGGACTTAGCCCCACTGCGCAGTCCTTCGTTTCCCGTAGACAAGAGTCTCTCAGTGATGTTTCCAACTCCTCCGCGACTAAGCACCGCAAAGAGCAGTCACAGCCCGACAAGGACCTTGACAAGGTTGATGAGGAGCTTGAGGATAACGGGCACGAAACCCACATGAAGAGGCTCGTGCAGGACGGTCATGGACGAGTGGACGAGAACGGAAAGTTGCTGGCTCAGCCAAGCTATGACACGGACGATCGATGAGGCAGCGAGGCATGGGGGTGACATGATAGGAGTGTCCGTGAACGTCGGGGATGTATCTAAGATGGTAGAGGTGCAGGTGATATTCGAGATTCACTACAACCGGATATGGACAGGTGGCATAGATGTCACGAACCTATACATAGATGATCCGTCCGCTGGACACCCTAATGAACCACACTTTGCCCTCTCAACCTACAGAGCAACATCGCACTACACTATAGCTCGAACACCTCTACTGAACACCATGTACTAACGCCTGATCACCTCGTGTGCAGTTGACAGAGACAGAAGTAAGGTCTATGGTATCAATTCCTACATGCCTACTCAAAAAGCCATCCTCATCCCAAGCCGCTAAATGCATGACAAGGTTCCCTCCAGTTTACTCCATCATCCCCCTACTTGATCTCCGTCTTCGCCATCATATCCGCCAAATCATCAACCTTCTTGTCTTTCTCCTGACCCACATTACTCTCCTCAGCCTCGTTATCCGCCGCGACCTGCCTCGCAGCCTTCTCCTCGACCTCAACACCCTCTTCGTCATCATCAGCATCCCCACGCTTTTCCTCTGCATCGCTCTCCTCCTCGTCTTCGTCGTCGTCATCCAACTCATCAAGTTCATCTAGACCCCAGTATTCTTCGTCGTCCGCATTCTCACCACTCTCTTCTTTCCGTGCATCGAGGACATCGCGCAGTTTCTCTATGCTGGGGTCCTCCTCGTCGAACTTGTTGCCGTTGATCTCGACGCGACGCAGCGCAGGGAGTGCGGTGTGGGAAGCGGAAGCGAGGCCAGCGAGACCCTTGGCGTTGATGTCGTTGAACTGGAGGCGCAGGACCTCAACCTTCTTGTTGTTGCCCTTCTCTAGTGCAGCAGCGAGAGCGACGCCGCCCCGGCCGCTGAGCAGACAGTCGCCTACGCCGAGTTCGCGGAGCTCAGTCCAGTTGCCGACGGCGCTGCTGAGGGCCTTTGCGCCCATGGCTGTGAAGGTGTTGTCCTGGAGGTCGAGGGTATCTAGTTTGGACAGGTGGGCGAGGCCGTTGGTAATGAGGTGCGAGATACCCTCTTGACGGATACCGTTCTGCGTCATCTTGATGGTCTTGACGCCCGTGTTGGCCGCGTAGGCTTTTGCCCATGCGCCCATGCTGCCGTTCTCCAGGCGGTTGCGACCGCAGATTACGAGTTCGAGGTCGGGGACTTCTTTGCCGTCTTTGCGCGCAGCGGCCTTTTTGGCGGCGAGTGCGGTGAGCGCATCTGCGACGAGGACACCGGCGGCGGGTCCGAGGCCGTTGTTGTTGAGGTATAGGTACCGGAGTGGGGTGTGTTGCGACAGGAAGTCTACGAGCGGGGCAACCGTGTTGAGGCCGAACGCGTTGTCTGAGAGGTCGACGGTGTGGAGGTTTGGTAGTGTGAGGAGCGAAGTGAGGAGGTGGGATAGCGCGGGCGGGATCTCAGACAGGAGACGCGAGGTGAAGATGTCGGCGAGGTTTGCGACCTGGAATTTGTGTCAGTCAGTCCGCCTTTGGCATCCCAGCGCCGATGAGCGGGGCTGTAAACATACCTGGAGGTTCTTCTTGCTCTCCAAGACCTTTGCAAGCGCCTCGCTGGCTCCAATACCCAGAGTGTTGCCCAAGAACTTGATCTCCTCTACATCGTCGTTGCTCTTGAGATCCTGGATGTGCGGCTCAATATCCTCGGCGGTGGTGAGTTTGAGGCCCTTGCCCTCGATAGAAAAGATCTTTGCGCCAGCCATGTTTTCGCACGCCCCGTTGCAAGTTACAGTGAGGATATAGTAGCGGAATGCAGCACAACAGGGGGGCGGGTTTGTTGTTTATACTTTATAGTGTGAGTCGTGGGGCGCAAAACGTAGTGGGGTTGATTGAGATTCATTGTCTAGAACACCCCCTGTCGCCTGCAGGGTTGGTTTAGCCGAACCGTGCAAGCCCTCGTGTGGCGTATGCAGCGCCGCGGGAGTCCGATGACATGTCCTGGGAACTTTTGCGATTGCTAAGCATCTTCAATTCACCTCCACCACACACCCACACTCACAATGTCGTCAGGTATGCTTGCGGTTTGATGATGGCTTGTATGCGACGCAGAGTAGCTAATTGATGGCGTTCTAGCACCGCCAACCGCTGCCAACATGGGCTCAGACCTCAAGGACACCGCCGCGCCAGCCAAAGTTAAGCGTGAGTTTCTACCCAACTTCCTGGTACCTACTTCTCTAGTACTGACTCCTGAAAAGCATGCTGCGTCTGCACAGACCAAAAGGCCAAACGCGACGAATGCATGCTCTTCTCGACATCGAACGACCCCCAGAAGGAGTGCTTCACCCTCGTCGACGACTACAAGAAGTGCATGGCTGGATACGGCTTCAAGATATAGCGCAATGAAGGACGGAAATGTATACGACATGTACAACACGAGCATATGGGTGGCGTTGCGCACGATGCGCGTTTTTAGATTCGATGTACAATACTATACATGAGGAACCAAAATCTTCCCTCCATGATCTACCTGGGTATCTTGAAGAAGTGCTGAAGTGCACCAACGAACATCCACCAATCTTTTACTGCGTCTTGCTCTTTACTGCTCCAAACAACTCACTCTTGACAACAAGTCGCCACAAGCACCACAGGTAGCAAATACCAAAGCCACCCGTCCCAACAATCGCATTCGCGACAACCCAGAGGTCCGGTTTGTCGGCTGGGGGAGGGTAAAAGGCCTCCGCAACGTGCCATCCAATCATAGCCAGGTAGATGTTGAGGTGGAGGATCTTGCTGAAGATATTCAGTCCACCTCGGCTGCCTTCATGGTAGGCAGAGAAAGAAACTGGGGGAAGACCAAGAAGATAGGCCCACAAGAGGGATATGACAAAGTATGGAACCCGTAGCTCGTCTCTCTTGAGTAGAGGGAACATTGTCCAAACGCCAAGCATGTTCGCAAGACCAACCCACGCGCGAGTGGAGGGCAGCAAACCATCTTTTCCACTGAGAAGCAGCGTCATTGGCAACAGCGGAAGCAAGACATTCTTCTCGTGCACCTGGTATGAGCAGAGAAAGAAGCCCCAAGAGACCGCCGCGAACGCGAGTGGAAGAAGCTGCTTCTTAGGTTTAACAAAGATGATCAGACATGGCGGCAGAATCGCAGCGGTCGTAGCGAGCAGCGCGAGACGCTGAAGTAGCTCGATAGGATAGCGATGAAGCTTGTGGAAAGTATGGATAGTGCACCAGATGTTGGCAACCTTGTCCTCGAACAACCCACGAGAGAAGGGAAAGATGCGGTGGATCGCCTGTCCCATCTCCAGAACGTATGGGTAGTACCAGGCATTCATATTCCACGGCGACATGAACCATCTCAAGGTTAGCAGTGGGGGCATCTCCAAAGGATCGTAATTGAATCGGGTATATCTGTCGTATGCGACGCCCATCAAGAACGGCAGAAACAACACGGCAAATGCGGCCACGGTAGTCAGCGCAATCGCAAGGAACCGCACAATGTTGATCCTGGGGAAGAGACAGATGCCCAGCAGGTATGCGAATACTGCAGGCGCATAGAACAATGCCATCTGTTTGAATCCAAGCGCACCGACGAAGAAGACACATCCCCACAGCGGTCTTCCAGCGATCATGCTTGAGAGCGTTGCGACTGCAAAACCAAGCATAACGGTGTTGTATTGGAAGTGTCCGTGGTCAATCAAGATCGTCCCCGGTTGCATCAGGATAGCAACCAGCGCAATTGACGACTCCCATATATTGACGCCCTCCAGTCGGGAGTATCGGCGGAGGAAGATGATCGTCGCGGGAACGTAGATGAGGTATTCGGATACGAAGACGGTGGCTCGCATGTATATCTTGAGGGAAGGGTCATCGAGCGCCCGCGACTCGTCCAGGGCGAACCATGTGGGATTGATAGCAGAACCACTGCAACGATTAGTACTTGTATTTGATATCCAATGCTCCAACATACATGACACCCAGTATCCAGCTATGATAAGCAGTCAGAGGTGGGTAGTCCAGTCCCCACCACTGCAAGTCATAAAAGTACCATTTCGACACGGGCAGGTGTTTGGTGATTTCCATCCAATGCCGCTGAGCCTCAAAGTCACCGTGCATTGGTGGTGACTGGAATCCAGAATAGCCCCACAGACTGACAGTCCATCTGAACAGGCCAACTGCCATCAAAATGAGGGGTATCGTGACCCATTGCGAGACGGTGCCTTTGGCTGGCCAGAGAAACGCGACGAGAGGAAACGCGGGCTTCCGTGCGTTGGTCGAGTGGTCGAGATCCAGTGTACCGTGTGCAACCTGGGCGAGAGAGCCCTCTCCAATATTTCGCCGCCGTCGCGGCTTGTGGGCTGCTGGAGATGCCATGTTGGAGCTGCCCGGGTGAGCTTGGTGAGGGCCCGGACGGCATCGAGGACTCGTGGCGGAGATTCTACGCTTTACCGCTTCTGCGCTAGCTTGTGCCCTGCATTCGAGTCCTTGAAGAGTTCGATACCCAGATCTCTTCGGACGAAGAAGAGTCAGCGCTCTTGGTCCAGGCTATTGCCTAGACTAGCTGCTCTATAGCTTTGGTTCGTGATGGAGCCTTAACGTATATAGCACGTTTGTAGGTAACTGATGCTTTCAAAATCACATATAGGTTGCGGCATAATCAAGCTGCTGTGAGCACCATTATGAGGGCACAGTGGGCAACCTCGGCAAACATTCTATCTGAGATTGATCCTTTTTGCTGCTGTGCAGACCATGTGTGTTCTCTGATAAAATTTCGTGCATGGTTGAACTCCTCTATGTAGGTAGGACATATCTAGGTGTGGACCGGAGGAAACTTTGAGTGTGCGGGATTCCTAGCATTACCGCACAAGATTCATTCCATCTACTTTCCATTCGAATAAATCCCAGTCATATTGAGACCCTGAGATCTCTGAGGGAAATACCGCCGTCGCCGTTGGATGGAGTTCGCGTGGGGCGAATCTAGCGTACCTCGAGAAAACGCGTTCCTA